GCCTCCCCCTTCCAGCTCCCTCCTCCCAGATTCCCCCCCCCACCCTCATTCCCCCCCTCCTCCCACTCCAGTTATGTTAAATAAAGAGTGTTTTTTGTGGCAACACAGGTGTTTTATTGTATATCAGGAAGGGGGGTTGCGGGGGAGGAGGCGGGGGTGGAATGTAAGGCACAAGGCCCCAGTGGGGCACGCCAGGGGGACTTCAGTCCTTGTCCGCCTGGAAGCTCTCCCACGGGGCTTCTCGGCTGCGGACAGCCCCCTGAAAGTGTCCTTCTTCATCCTGAAGTTCAGGGCTGTGCGTACTGACCAGCCAGGCGGTCAGCCTCTGCCATCCAGGCTGGCAGGAAAGCCTCCCCCTTCCTCTCACATAAACTGTGGAGCACACAGCACGCTGCCACCACGTGCGGAATATTGTGCTGGGAGAGGTTGGGTCGGATGAGGAGGCACCTAAAATCGTGCTTTCAGTCGGCCGAAGGCCCCCTTGACCACAATGCAGGCCCTGCCGAGCCTGGCATTGAAGGCCTGCCGGGAGGGGCTGAGGAGTCCTGTGTAGGGCTTCATCAGCCAGGGCTGTAGGGGGTAGGCCACATCTCCCAGCAGGCACACTGGCATGTCCACGTCCCCGACCCTGATGTGGCAGTCGGGGAAGAAAGTCCTGGCGTGCAGCCTCTGGCACACGGAGGAGTTGCGGTATACCCGCGCATCGTGTGCCTTGCCGGACCAGCCCACGCTGATATCCGTGAACTGGCCCTGGTGGTCAGACACGGCCTGCAGGATCACGGAGAAGCACCCCTTCCTCTTGATGAAGAGGGAGGCCTGGTGGTCGGGGGCACAGATGGGGATGTGCGTCCCGTCGATTGTCGTCCCCCCCCCCAGTTGGGGAAGCCCAGGGCGCCGAACCCCTGGATGACCGCGTTCAGGTCAGTGAAGGTGGATGACTCTGCGGAGTAGCACCCTCTTGATGGCCTTCACAACCTGCAGACACACACAAAACCGAGGGTTACTGGGGTGCCCGGGTGGCTGGGAGTGTTTGTTCCCCACCACTGCCCCGCGCCCCACTCCCAGGAGCAACTCCCACTGCAATCCTGGACACCACGGGCGGTCAGTAGCGCAGCCAGGACAGACTGAACCCTCCCAGGGAGGGCACTTACACCACCTCCCCCCTCGTTTTCCCTGGGGCAGCCCATGTCCTCCTTGTAGCTCCCCCTCCTGGCCCAGTGGCCGGTGAGTGCCGTACCTGCATGAGCACCGCTCCGACAGTGGATCTCCCCATGGTGAACTGGTTCCCCACGAATCGGTAGCTATCCGGTGTGGAGAGCTTCCAGAGGGTGATGGCCACCTGCTTGTGGAGGGGAATGGCGGGCCTCATGCATGTGTCCCATCACCGCAGAACAGGGGCGAGCCACTCGCAGAGCTCCAGGAAAGTGTCCTTCTTCATCCTGAAGTTCTGGGTCCACTGCTGGTCTCCCCAGCGCTCCAGGACGATGTGGTCCCACCAGTCACTGCTGGTGTCCAGACGCCAGATGCGGCGGGGCACGCTGGCATCCGGGTGCCGCGCCTCCAGGGCCCCCAGAGGGGGCAGATGGAGGGCCAGGGGGCTGGCCTGCAGCAGAAGGTGCCAGGCAGCCTCCAGCAATTGCTGCCAGGCTTGCAGCAAGACGTTTAACATGAACACCAGAGTGCCCAGGGGTGGCTCTGGCTCCATGGTGCCGAGTGCTGTGGTGTCCCAAACAAGAGTGACCGAAGCAGGCGGAGAGGAAAACGCTTTGCTCTCCCGCGGCGAGGTAGGCAAGCAAGCGGGAAAGCTGAGAACCGGCTGTCCAGGCACGAGCCTCAGATAGCCTCAGACAGCAGCCACACAAAGCAACTACTTAACTGATGCCCTGCTGGAACTGGTTTCAGCTGCCCTTAAATGCGACCCAGCGTCCAATCAGTGTGGATGCGCTATTTCGAAATAGCAAAACGCTATTTTGAATTTGAAATAACGCATCTAGACACAAAATCTATTTAGTTTATTTTGAATTAACTAATTTGAAATAAATTAATTCGAAATAGTGCTGCAGTGTAGACATACCCTAAGACACTGTTTTATGCTAAGGTCTTGGTAATTATAAACGACAGTTCTACTATCAGAGGCTTTACATTTCATTTTCATTCTGCCAGGTAAGGGTCAGAAGTATAGAGCTCATCCAGAATTAGGTCTTCCATATGACAGACAGAGCCTATATCTACAGATATCTAGGCTTAAATTTTCAAAGTTTTACGCTGTTACACATAAAAATGATAACTATTAACTTTTTCCGACAGTAACTGCTCTTCAGACGGATGAGCCATAACCAACAGAGCAGCAATGAGGTTTTTTCTGTTCTCCTAAATCTCTAAAATGATACCTAGGGTACTGAAACTGATCATAAAAACCCAGTGGCAGGATCACAAGTACAAAAAAATCTAGAAGTGCAGACAGGAGGCATGTTGTGCACAGTAAGAAACAAACCTAATAACCAATTAATTTATTTTAACATTCATTTCTTGTTTGTTGAGTGATGTTATGATTAACTCATATGCAATGTTATATATAATCACTGTATGCTAAATAGTTTTAAACTGGAGGTTCATATAAGATTGTTAAGCATTTACAAGTGATAAGTATGCATTAGGTTCCCAGGGAGCTGCATCCCCTGAATGTAAACATATAGCCGCTGAGATTTTCAGCGGTTACACGTTTACCTAAATAAATGCATTTTAACATCCCTTCTAACCATTCCCCCAGTCTCTACCAACCACACAAATTTTGGATTGCCCTGAAATGAATCTGAACAAACCATGAATCTACCTAATGCACAAGCAGAAAACCAAAAACTCCTCTTCATGAAACTGCAGCAGAACATCCAAACCACCAAACAAAGCATAATGGAGTCCCCCAAACATCTGAAAGATACTGAACTGAATGATATCCACAGGTCACAGAAGAGACCCTGAAATGATTTATGGACCTACACCTCTGCAGATGCCATATGTGTTGGCACGTGACACTCACTAAGGGTACGTCTAGACTACATGCCTATGTCGCCAGAGGCATGTAGATTAGGATACCAGACATAGGAAAATGAAGCGGCGATTTAAATAATCGCTGCTTCATTTAAATTTACATGGCTGCCGCGCTGAGCCGACAAACAGCTGATCAGCCACTGTCCATGGTGAGCCTGTGCTCAGACCCTCCTCCTTCCCCCTCAGCCTTCCCCCTGCTGCTGCCTCTGGTAGATGCAGCAGCGCAAGGGGAGGAGGGTGCAGGCAGACCCTGAGCACCAGCCTCTGCCTGCCCTGCCCCCACATCTGTAGGCGGCATGGGGCAGGGGGGCAGGTGGGTTCGTGGAGCTGACACAGGCAGAGAGCCAGCTCGTCGCACGTAATGGCTCCTGCCTACCCCCCTCACCGGGGCAGACATTCCAGTGCTCACGGGGAGCTGGCTTAAAAGCTGGCTTCCCACAGACACCGGCTCCCCCTACCCATCTTTCCTGCCTGTGATACAGAGATGGCAAGCGGGGATTGGGGGAGAATGCATGTAGTCGACAAGATAAACTACTAAGCCTCGGCTTATCTGTTAATTGTGTAGGTGTCTACACCAGGAAGTGCCAAGATTTAACCCTCCTGTCTTGGGCTGTGCCACTCTCCTGGCAGCGGTTCACTCCACCATGCCCCCCGTGGATCACCTGGCTCAATACCAGTTGCTAATGGAAACTCACTGTTAATTACACCCGAGCCGTTTTGCTAGTGCTGCAACTGGGGAAAATGGTTTTTTAAATTTTTTAAATTATTGAACAATTTAAGCTTTTTAATCTTCTTGTGTTAGTTTATCAAACTTCATTTCAAACAAAGTAAAAGGTTTCAATGTTTTCTTTATTTATGGGAGGGGTGGGGAACCTCTCTCGGGTTCAGGGTTACTGACCCATAGAGAAATCAGTTGGAGACCACACAAGTGAGAAGCAAAAATCTCCTCCAAAACCCCCCAATCCTCACTGATGTGGCTTCCAACTGAGACACCTCACTCTTCTGGCACTCCAGCCCCCACAGTGTGAGAGGAAGGGACAGGGAGGACTGAGGTTCAGGACTTCTCATAGGCCAGATTTACTTCTCTGGGATTCCAGAGTTAATGGATTTTGTGGACCCTCTTAGGCTCTAAGGTGGGAACAAAAATGAGGGGTTCAATGTGCGGGACAGGGCTACCAGCGAGTGGGATTGGGATGCAGGATAGGGTGAGGAGGGCAGGGTCTGGAAGGGAGTTTGGCGGCAGGAGCGGGTGTGGGGTGGGAGGGAGTTGGGGCAGTAACGCAGAAAAGGTGAGAGGATGAGAATGCAGCCAAATAGCTAGTTGGGGAGGGAGGCAAAGAAGCAGGGAGTAAAGGAAAGTGCAGCTTCTGCAAAGTAAAATTGTATTCCCCCCTCACATCTTCCCTCTGCTCCAGCCTCACTCTCCTCAGCCTCATGATCCCCCCGCCATCGCTCCATGCCTCTCAGTACAATTCCTGCCCCCTCATTCTCCTTCACCTCTTTCCTACCTCCACATCTCTGTGCCCCCAGTGCACTCACCGGTCAGCAGCAGCACTGGAGCGAGGAAAAGCAGGGGGAGGGGAAGGACAGAGTCTCTTCCCTGCCCTGACCAGCCCTTTACCTGCAGACTGCAGCTCTGGGGCAGACAGAGGCCAGGGCTGGCTCCAGCTCGGCCAGGTGCAGAGGAGTGCTGGGGAAGCGGCTCGGGGAGCAGCCCAGGACCGTGCGTGCCACATAGGACCAAGTGCCCAGCCCTGGCTCTCTGGAGCAAGCCCAGACCTGCCCCCTCCTGAAGCAGGAAGCCTGTGGGGGAAAAAAGGGGGTGTTAACCCCTTAGCTTCTGGAAGCTGCACGCCCAGGCTGGACAGGAGCAGCCCAAGGGAAACTTGCACGCCTCTCCCACTCCCCTCCCTCCCAGCAGGAAGCAGGAGCTTGTGATCCAGCCTGCAGCAGAGGGGAGGAGCAGGGCTGATCTGCCACGGGAAAATCGGCACATGCTGCTTGTGGCACACATGCCAGGGGTTGTCGACCCCTGCTCTACACAATGACATCCCTACCTTATTTAGTGACTTCTTGTACAAGTTATTTTCAAGGAGCAGACAACCGGACCTTCTCCCCTCTCATAGGGTATGTCTACACTACAGCGCTAATTCGAATTAATTTAGTTCGAATTAGTTAATTCGAACTAAGATAATTCGAACTAACGGATCCAGACTAAAAAACTAGTTCGAATTAGCGTTTTGCTAATTCGAACTAGCATGTCCACATTAAGTGCACCCTGAACCGGGGTTAAGGATGGCCGGAAGCAGTGCTGGCAGGGCATCAGATGAGGTCTTAGAGCGTGGAGTTGCTGTCTCAGGCTAGCCGAGGGCTGTGCTTAAAGGGACCCGACCCCCACCCCGGACACACACAGACTAAAAAACTAGTTCGAATTAGCGTTTTGCTAATTCGAACTAGCATGTCCACATTAAGTGCACCCTGAACCGGGGTTAAGGATGGCCGGAAGCAGTGCTGGCAGGGCATCAGATGAGGTCTTAGAGCGTGGAGTTGCTGTCTCAGGCTAGCCGAGGGCTGTGCTTAAAGGGACCCGACCCCCACCCCGGACACACAGTTCTCAGGGGTGCCCC